TACACAATAATAATAATGGAATTTAAACATCAGTTTCCTTCTAGAAGGGACTATACAATTTTATATAGCAAAAGCTTAAAATAAATAAAAAAATGATATTGTTATTTAATAAAAACATAGCTTAAGCCATATTCATGATATAAACATATCAATATCAATATCCATAAAGATTATTTTTTAATAAATAATTTAATATAAGCTCTTTTTATTATTATTTTTATGTATTGATCAATTCTTTATTTAAAATATTCCACAATATATCGTATAAGAAAATATTTGGAAAAAAAAAATTTACAAATAATCATAATAATAAGTGATTAAATGATTTGTTGTAATGATGATATCACATTGTTGACAGCAGAAAGATAAATCTTATAATATACTTTGTAAAAAGAAAGTACATTCTAAATAAATATGTAGAAACCCGGCCAGGCCAAACTCAACACTACCGAATTTATGTGCTAGTTAATTAATCATTAATCTCTACTCATAATATTTATCTATAATAATTATTAATTAATTTGGAATGTTTGAGTTGCTTTTTATTAACTTCAACCTTTTTCTTCCTATCAGTCAACACTTGTAACCCTTGATCGTTTCATATTGTTTCATTAAAATAATACCAAATCAAAGGTCATTTGACCAAAGGATGTGATGCAATTATTTATTTATTTTATATATTAATCTTTTATAATTTAAAAAAGATATGTCAATTAATAATAGTCATAAACTTATTGATGGAATACATGGAGACAAAGGTATGTCACATACAAGGAAAGGATTAAACAACAAAAAGAGAAATAATTTAGATAAAAATATAAATAAATACAAGAGAAAACTGTCAAAACATTTCATATGAGGAATGATACTTTAATTGGTTTGTTTTGACTTATGTTGATTTTTAGGTGTATTTTTATGTTAAATTAATTATTATCATTTTGTCAATTTCTAGAGCCAAAGGCTTGGACTCCAAAAAAAAAAAACAAAAAATTTAATTCACGTCTTGAAAGAAAAATATATATATAGAACATAACATGTTATATATAATATATATTTGTGTGACATAAAATATTATTATTATTGGCTGGAACTGATGACGAACTTGTGCGATGCTATATATATTTTTTGACAAAACAATATTTGGTATGATTTTAAAGAGATGGTTTTACTAGTTTATTGTTTCATACTGATTGACTTTATTTTTTTTACAATACCCTAAACATCAACATCAGAGTGATATGGAACAAAAATAGTGTTTTACATAGCAAAGGTAATTATTTATCATGATATAAACAATTGACATGCTTTTTCATTATCACCATTAATATTAACATCAATCATAATAATAAGGTGAGAAAGCAATGTGATCTCACTCTCACATATAGAAAACACAACATGGGCTTGAGAAAGCTGGAAATATGAAACAACTTGATCTGAACATTCATGTTTGGAAACGTATATTTCAATCATTCTTTTGGCTCCTATATCATATAAGGCTAATCAAGCTTTGAACTCCCTGACGATATGATGATATGAATAGTCTTTCAGAGGAGGAGCACAGATAGCTCTGAAGTTGATTACATTGCATCATTGTCAAAGAGATTGCTTAAGCCAGTGCAGACAAAAACAGGCAAAATTTAAAAATCACTAGAAAATTACTGTACCCAAGTCAATATGATGACTGATTTTTCAAAAGACTGATACTTAGGTTACAGATCATAAACTCCCTGGAGCTCCTAAATTTATCTTGGCTGGTAATATTAGGAAACTAATTTGCGTGATAAAGGTGATTATATTGGTGTCAACACTGGCTAAAGCATCTCGACCAAAGCCTTCACATGCACATGAGTTCAACTGTGACAAATATTTCATAGTTATGGGCGCATGCGGTGGTATGATTGTTGCATGTTTGATATAGGAAATTTATTAAATCTGACACCTGTGATTAATATCATCAGATTTATTCATAGAAACTGTGCAATTGGAAAATTTATGATCTTCCCTGGCAACACCTGATCAAACCTGTCCCAGGGAGGATATGATTAATTATTTATTTATTGATAAACCCTAGAGAATTGTGTAAATACACATTAAAAGTTTCATTTTTGCATGGCCTTGGTATCATTATTACTCGGGTGATGCAATTGTTTGTTATACCAATAGACATATTAATATGCAACAGTATCATAATGGAGTTTTACAAAATGGTATGTCTATTTAATATGCTATTTTGCAATTCAATTTTCTTTAATTGATGATCCCTTTATAATTGGTGGAAAATTTCCAATTTTCAATATAAAATTTGGGGGTAAGTTAAATATAAGTTTTTGAGTAAATTCCAAATCTCAGAAGAACCACTATCAAACTCATTTTCTAATGTCATACTGTTACTATATTCCTGTTACTCTTTTAAATAAAGACTCTTTAATAAATGAAGTACATTATCTTTTCTAAAGCTGAAAAAAAATTACAATTGGTTATAAAAAACATTTTTTTTGTGTATTTTCAATGTTAAACTTATTATTCACAAACTTATATTATATATTAGTCGGACGACATTTCACAGTGACTGATTTTAATATATGATCGACATGGCACGTTTTCTGTACAATGGACTTTGGCGAATGAATTGAACGTAAACCCATTATTAAACAATTTTCGTGCCTCTAAGTAAAAACAATCACTTGCCTTTGACCTTTAAAACGCGAGCTTTATGCATTTGTAGCTCTTCCAGTTATGGAGTAATAGCCTCTCAAAGAAACCTATGGTTTTTGACTTCGGAAGCTTAATTCTTTTCGGAAATCAGCTCTATTGAGATCGTTTTAGCATGATAAGACAGAGTACATTAAGAGCTTTCAGAAAATATATGATTCGGATGGTTTTCTTGGGGAAGGAAGAAATTAAAAGCAAAAAACGGTTTTATAAGTTATTTATTATATTAGAGCTTTTAACAAAGTTTTTTTTTCACATTACTGATTTCTAACTTTTATTATATTAATATTAATAATGATTAGATAATATATGAAGGCACAATCTTTTAATTGGAGTTTCTACTCAAAAGGTTACAAAAGAAAAAATATTTTAATATATTGATTAATATTCTCAACTTAATAAATTATTAATTATTAATATAAATGATAATAATCTTTAAATTTAGAACTTTTGTTTATTTATTTTTATTGTGAAGAATTTTTAAGATAGTATGAATTAATGACAAAAATAAGAAAAACAAGATAATCTCAATTGAATGAACAGATAACAAGAAGGAAAACTATTAAATATTAGTATTAGGTATCAAAAATTATATTAAATGAATTTAATTAATATATTTATTAGATTTTTTTTTTTTGTCAATATTTAATTGATTATTTGTTACATGTTAAAAATTAAATATGAAAAAAATATTTTAAATGATTATATGGCTAAACAATGTACCACTAAAGAAAAGTTTGTGATCTCACTGAGTTTTATATTAACATTATAATTTTTTTTTTTTTTCATATTATCATACCAGTAATCTCTTAACTTTATTGTATGTTCATGAATCATGTAATTTAAATAGA